ACCCACGCCCCCCCTTAAAAACCCCCCAGAAAAAACACACCAAAAGCCCAACTTCCCCATTTTTTCCCCTTCTTTCGCACACTCCCAAAACAAAAATTGGGCTTAAAGGTAAGCTTTCGCCCCCAAACTTTTGTTCTTGCGCCGGGGCCAACCAAATTCCCGGGGATTGTGAGGCCATCCCACCCCCTTATCCCTTTGCCGTTGGGGAAGTGTTTGGCCCAGGGGTTTTTGCCGGCCCAGGGAATTTTGGAAAAAGGGTTCAGGGGGGGGGGTTTGCCAGGGTGGGTTTTCCGGGGGGGGGGGGGGAGGGAGAGGTGGGGGATGGACGTACCTCGCAGGGCAGCGCGGATGCGGTTGCGTGTTGAGGGATGAGGGAGGTAGACATGGGTTTGGTGGTGTTGAGGGTAGCGATGTGTTTTGAGATGTGTGTGTTGTGGCGGGGGTGGATGCTTAAGAGGAGGTTAGTTGATGAAGCTGGGAGAATGTTTGGGGTTGGTGTGCGAGATGCTTCTCCTGGGTCGTGGAAAGGACTATGCAGGATTTCGTGCCAGAGAGACAATTGTGAATTGTGCCGATTACTCCCCAGAGCTCACATTGACAGCAATCTCATTCAATCAAACGTTCAACCTAGTCACAGACGCCAAAAGTGAGTATACGAGACCATCTAGAGCCGAGAAATCAAGGTCAGCAGGAGAGGGCAACAACAAAGTGTGAATGGGGGAGAGGCCGAAGCCCAAAGGAGTGTATTATTGATTATGGTTATGCCGTCTATGCGCTTTTCGTAAATGCATTCAAACAATTCTCCGTACTGTCATAAAGGGTTCATGGCCGTTGGTATATCAAGCAGGGGGAGTGACTTGTGCAAAGTTGACAGTTTTGTTGCCAAATTGTTCGTTGGCGCAAACGGTCTTGAGAACGGACTTGTATTCTATGGAAGTGTCAGTGCTGGCGCTTCTTCACATGGTCCTTGTGACAAGGCAGGCGGGCTTCTTACGGTATCGCGCACCCTCTGTGCATGCGGCTTTGCCCTCGTCGCCGTCAATGCACGTCTGCACGGTGCTCACGTAGCGGGCGATTTCGGTTTGCTCGAGACGGCATAGACATGCGAGATCTGAAGGCGGGCAGCCATCGAACAGGCCGTTTGTGGACTTTAGACAGGAGGCCTGGGATCCATTAGCCTCGTTGGCGATGACCGCGGACGAAGCCAACTTACTGCTGCGCACGTTGGGAGTTTGAACTGGTGGATCGAGAGATTGTTCGGTAACGACCAGGCGGTAGGCAGTACTGCGAGGCAAGCAGCGAGGGATGCGCTGGCCAACTTCATTTTGATGATGGGGGGATTTGGATGTCGATGCTAAACAATGCGACAAGAGCGGGTCGTCGAGTGATTGTAAAGTCGGCCGTCAATCTGCTCTTCTCTTGCCGAACCGCTTTGCTTATATTCCCAAGCACAACAAACACACCGTCTGTAAAAATAGCCCGCGAACCTGCACGTCGACGTACGTTTGCAATCCCACTTTTTCCCAATCGGTGGACCGAAAGCAGGCTGTGGTGGAGCGTCGGACAAAGAAAAAGCACGTTCCGTCCTCTAGTCCCCAACGGAAGGATAGAGTTGCGGTTCGGGCAATTGGACGCAGAGGATGCACTTTGTCCCTGTAGCAACAATTTATCGATTCTGCGCCGGGTTGTGCTTCTTTGTTCCCCAGAGTGAGGTGTTGGGTGGTCAGGTTGTGGGGCGGGAATAGGTTTGTTGGTGGGAGGGCTGTGCAGAGGTAGAGGCAGAGGTACTCTAGAGGCACGGGGTACAGCGAGCAGGCAAGCTATTGGATTCCTATACAACTGCCTGTCAAAGTCCAACCACGCGTCCAGTTGTGTGGAGGTTGGGTTGGGTTTTAAAGTAGACGTCGTCGTCATCAAGGACAGAGGGTTGAGCAGAGCAGAGCAGGCTGAGGTCATTTCTATCCGTGTCCCTCCCCAGCCCGTGCGGCTGAAGAGGCCGGCAGGATGCGGGGTCAACCCAACCACCAGACAAGCACAAACGACGGACGTATCCACCCACCAAGCCCCAAACAAGAGATGAACCTTTTTTTTTTTTTTTTTGCCGAAAAACCTCCTTGTACGACCTCGTCCCTGGCATGGAAAGTATGCACAGTTGTGTATGTACTCTAATGGCAAGAAAAGAAAAGAAAGAGCGTACTCTAGAGTATGCAGACAAGCGGTTGTGACTTGTGTAGTCGGGCATGTGGAAGTTACTGTCAGATCAGCAGACGTACAATCCCCCCAAGCCAGGCAGACCAAAGTACGGTACGTATGACCCACCAACCCTCCTGAACAAAGAATCCCACCCACCAACCTCTGCAATCCCAAGACTCCACGGACAGCCTCGTCCCCAGCCCCTCACATACCAACGCACGAAAGAGCAAAGGAAAAAAAGACCCTCCACGAGACAGAAAGCATGCATGGTGTGTGGACACGGTAGGGTGCTGGTGATGAGCAAGGTTGGTAGGATATTTTATGCGTTCAAGCTGTCTGAATTTCCATTCGTATGTCTGTCTCTCTCTCTCTCTCTCTCTCTCTCTCTCTCTCTCACACACACACACACACACACACAAACGCAAACCCATCAACGATCCCAATTCCAAGTCCTATTTAAACTGCAAACTGCATCCAAACTGCAACCTGCAAACTCAACAAAGAAGAAGAAGAAGGAGAACAAGTACATGGTTGAACACGCGTGCAAACCAGATCAAAGGGAAGAAAAGAAAAAGGTCGACGGAAACTGGGGTACAAGGGGAAAAAGGAAAACAAACGGGACCAGACGCAAGAAGCAGTCAGACCGAAGGAACAAACAAAAAAGAATCACATCTGGCGTCCCACGTCGAAAGAGGACGAGGCCAGGTCAGGATTAGATACGAGGAATCCAGGCTAGGTGAATCGGTTTGTAAGATTTCCGCGCCCCTCGTTTCCAAATCCTCATTTCCCTCGTCTTCCAAATCCGCTCTTCTTCTCCTCCCACCCTCCCACCAGCACATCCACATCCACCCCCCTAAAACAAACAATCCAAACAACAACAACACGCCAACCCAGCACACAACCCTGCAAACAATCCCCCACTCCCGCTCCCCTTGCCCCTCCCATCCGCATAATACCCACCCTGCGGCGGCGGCGGTCCCTGCTGATACTGCATCGGCTGCTGCTGACCGTAGTAGCCCTGCTGCTGGCCCTGGTAGCCCTGTGGCGGACCGTACGCGGCGCCGCCCTGCTGATAGGGCGCGACTTGTTGTTGCTGTTGCTGGTAGGGGTTCGGGCTGCCGTTGTAGTATGAGGGGTCGCCGTTGGGGTTGTTGTAGTACCCGTTTTGTGGGGCTGGGCCGGCGTCTTGGTGGATTTGGGGTGGGGGCTGGGGATAGGAGGGGGGTGGGCCGGATTGGTCCTGTGGGAGGGGGGGTTAGTGAGTGTGGGTTGAGTGTGTGAGGGTGGGTATGGTGGAAGTAGCAGGAAGCAGAGGAGAAAAGTGTTGCGCAAGCAATGCGACTGTTGTCTGCCTGACGCGACCACCTCCACGATACGCGCGCGAAGAAAAGGATAAAAACAAACTTACGTATTGTCCCATGATTACACTCTCTGCCTCCTATATCCCAGATACACAAATAACCCAAGAGAAAAGCGAAGAGGCCTTTGACGAGCGAGCAAGCAAGCAGTACAGTGACGATGGATGCAAGAACGACACGCACTCTCTCTCTCTCTCTCTCTCTCTCTTGTAAACCACTAACTCAACAACCAAGCCAAACAAGGTCCAAACTAATTACAATCGTTTGCAGCTGACGTTGGCCCAAGACCGTGCTAGCACAAGACGCGATCAATAGCGCCGCTCTCGCTCAAATAGCCTGTGTTGCGCCGTTGCCGTTTGCCGCTGGGAGGGGGGGGGGGGGTCGTCGTACGTTGTCGTCGGCGTCGGCCAAGGTCCCAATCACTTTTCGCTTTTCCCGAAGAGGGCGTCAGGGCCCTGGTCAGATGAACAGTGGTCAAGCTGTGAAAGCTGCCAAAGCTGCGAAAAGCTGGGAGTCAGGTTGATGAAAAGGGGGCAAAAAGATCACAATGTAAGTTTTTGTTTGTTCAATTGTCAATTGTCGAGGGAGAGGGGAAGAGAGGAAGAGCGAGTGCAGGAATAATCAAGCAGAAGGCGCGTCCGTCCCTTTACCTTCTCGTACCGTTCGTGTCGCAGCGCAGCGTGGCTGAGTCGAAAAAACAAGTGGCGGACGCGCAATGCGGGCTATGCCCGTTGTGGGAGCGAGAGGGCTCGCGCGTCTACCCAAGACTGCAAATGAGCCAGAAAGGGGAATAATAGCACAGTTCAACAGATGAATCATCAGTCTGTCTCGTGGCCGTGTGACCCATTTATTTATAAAGTATACAAATGCACATCAGAAAAGTTGACGTGGCACGCATCCTCATGTTTATGCATCGAGTTTTCATTGGATATCTGCTCAAATGCTGATTACATAAATGAACTGGGGCAATCGACGAAGCGGCATCACGGGGCACGGCGAATAGCTAGGGGAACAGGATGGGAAATATACAAACCTCGGAGCAAGTGAACATCGCATCGGGAATGAGGGCGTCGTGGAGCATCGGGGAGATGGACGGGGGGGGCAACCGAAGGGCAACGACGGGGGTAGGTTGGGGGGAGGGGGAGACAAAGTGGTCGACGACTCAAATTTCGGTCGGATATTGTACACGTAAAAGGAATCGCATCGATATCGACCGTTCGACCGAAGAGTACGTGGAAGAAACCGAATCGCATATAGTTCGCCGAAGTCGTTCGCAAGAGAAGATTCGAATCGAGCGTCTCGACTGCTGATCTGATTAACGCCGTGGCAGGACGTAGAGGTTACTCTAGCCTCCACTCGAGAAGTAAATATCAACCCCAACCACCCGACTCTCCGCTTCCAAAGCCTCCATGCTGTACCAATTTATTCACCTCTCGCTCCCAATCTGTTAGATGAACAGCAGCCGTAGTCCCTTCTGGCGCACGTCCGCCGTGTCCATCTCAATAGCTCC